AGGGGGCCGTGGGGCTGGTGGGGCTGCAGGGCCCTGATAAGCTCAGCCTGAGCCCGTAGGGAATTCCAAGAACTGCGCCGGGCTCAGCGCTGGATGCCGTTCAATGGCCCCCCCGTGCCACCATCACCCCCCCCGGGGCTGGCTCCCACCCCTGCGGGGCTGACCCTGGCCCCCTGCCCAAAGCACGTGCCTGCACACCGGTGTGACGAGACACCCGTGGGCCAGTGCCCCAACACACCCCTGTGCCACACAGCGAGCCACCCGCACTCCTGCCCCCAGCCATGCTCTGCTCCCCCCCCCCCACACCACCGGGGCTCTGAAGGGAGCTGGGGTGTCGGGCTCCCCCCCGACCCCAGGGCAGCCTGTCCCCCTCCCATTTGTCCCCACGGAGGGACACAAACATGGGCTCAGCCGACCCTGGGAAGAGCCTGAGCTGCTCCCGGGGGACAGGCAGTGCTGGGGCAGGGGGGCAGCCCGGGGGGGGCACAGCCAGGCTGCCACCAGAGTCCTTCAGCACCATGAGCCCCCCCCGGGCAGCCCAGAGCAGGGTCCCCAGCCCTGGGGGAGGCGGTGGTGCCGGCCGGGGACCACGCGGAGGTTCCCAATGGACACGTGGGAGCAGCGGTGCCGGGAGCCCGTGCTGCCCTGTTTACCCGCGGGGCCTCTCCCCGCCCCGATAACCCCTGTTTGCGCAGGCGGTGCCGGGCGGGTGCCATGGCAGCCCTGGCTTCCTGGCACTGCCACCCGGCAGCCGGGGGGGCCCGCCCAGCACTGCCCTCCCCGGCCCCCCACTCCCCACCAGCCCTGGGGGGGGGACACCCTGCACCTGGTGGGGAAACCTCGGGCACCCTGTACCCCCGGCCGAGGGCAGGGCTGTGGCACGATGGCCGTGATGCCCTCGGTGCCTGTGGCTGCTGGGCGCCGGCATTGCCAGTGCCCAGAGCTGGCCTCCCTCCTGGCATGGGGTGCCACAGCCGAGTGGGCGATGCTGTGCCAGGACACTCAGCCCGTCGCTGCATCTGGGGCAGGGGGTCCCTGTCCTCGTCCCCTCTGCCCCACCACGACAGCTCTACTCCCCTCTGGAGCCCGATCCTGATGGAAAACCCCTCCTGGCTTCCCTACCACCTGCGACGGCCCGAGCAGGGCCATGGGGTCAGACCCCACCTGCGGGGTCCCACTCTGCCCGGCTGTGGGGTCCCACTTACCCCCTGCCTGGCCTCTTGGTGCCCCGGCTGCTCTGGGGGCTGCCGGCTCTGGCACTGGTTGGCCTGGGGTCGGTGGCTGTGTCACGGCTGCCAAGGTGTCTCTGCACTTCCGGGCAGGAGAGCGGAGCCTGTTTTACCTCAGGGCTGAGACAAAGTCCACGGGCGATGGCCGGGAGCGCACCACGCCTCGGCAGGGTGTGTGCGTGGCTCACCGGGCGGGCACCGCGCTGGCACCGGGAAGAACCAGGCCCCCGCGGCCCCAGGAGCGAGCCCTGGCATCCCGGCCCAGGCAGGAGCAGGACCCCCGTCAGCCCAGGGGTGGGCAGAGACCCACGGCCACCTGGCGACGGGACCCGGGGGGCCTGACCCCAGCGCTGCCCCTCGGGGCAAGCAGGAACCCGGCTGCCACATCCCCTTCACCTGCCTTTGACTGCCAGCATCACACCCGCATCCCTCCCCTCCCGGCATCCTGGTTCCCACCCTCCTCTTCCTCCCCGCTCCTCCGGCACGGCCACGTGTCCATCACCCCGGGGCTGGCACTGGGATGGCATCCCACCCTGCCCTTACCTGTGCCCTGGGCGCAGGGTGGCACAGAGGACCTGCCGCGGCACAGTGCACCTGAACACCTCCCCTGCCCGGTGTCACCGTTGGTCTGGGGACAGGCAGGGGTTGAAATCACCGTGCCCCTGCCCGGGTGGCCACTGGCCACAGGAGGGAGGAAACAAAGGGATTTATTCTGCATTTATTCCTTATCCCCAGCATTCCCACCCCCATTCATCATCCTCATCCCCAGCATCCCCATCCCCATCCCCATCCCAGACCCTTCCCACCCGTCCATGCCCAGTGCCCGTGCTGGGGTGCCAGAGGTCGGGGTGCTGCCCCCCCGTCCCCATGCAGAGGGCGGAGGCGCCAGGCTGGTTGTTCACACAGTTTATTTGCTCGGTTGGGGATTCTTACAAACAACGGGGAGGGCTCGGGGGGGGGAAACTTCAAACGGCTTCGGCACAAGTGGAAAGCACGG